GTGACAATAAAAACTGCCGATTGATTTACCAAAATTTACACTTTTATTACCTAACACCAATTAAAACTTAAAACACTAATAATTAACCACATTGATTCACTTTATTTCGCTCCGAAGCTTCGCTTGTCTCGCCAAATTCAATACTTGCCCCGACCGCGTCTTGCAGCGCCTTTAAATACACATTTTTCACCGAAACGTCCAGAATATTCAAGTAAATACGCGCGCCAACCGACCAGGCGCAGAAAGTTCAAGTGTAGGGCTTCTAGAAAGCTTAGTTCATCAATTCGATACTAGATGGCGCTGTTGGTCGAAAGTCAAGATTGACATTTTCTAGGAAGCCCTCCTCGCTCGCATCCCCGACACTAGATGGCGCTAGTGCCAGGTACATGACGTCAACTTAGGCGCGCAACAATATTAATAGCAAGGAGTTAAGTGCTAATTAAGTGCTGCGAGTATAGGCAATGACAAGGCGCCCCTAATAAAAATAAAGTTGTTATTCAGAACAAAGTAAATGCAAAAATCAGGTTTTCTGAAAATCTACGCAAAGTAAGGAATTTGCATTTAGAAATTGCAAAAATTAACTCTTTAGGTGTTAATTAGATGCCAAGTTAAAAAAATAAGGTGCTCTAAAATGTTCACCGCAACGACCTATTGAATAATAGATATACGACAAATAATAATAACAAGGAATCAAGTGCTAATTAGGTGCTGCGAGAATAGGCAATGACAAGGCGCCACCTATAAAAATAAAGTTGTTATTCAGAACAAAGCAAATGCAAAAAAAAGGTTTTCTGAAATTATACGCAAAGTGAGGAATTTGCATTTAGAAAATGTAAAAATTGGGGCTTTTTAGCTAATTAGGTGTCCTATTTAAAAATTAGGGTCTTAAAAATTTTCACCGCAACGAACTATTCAAATTTGTGTTGCTGGAAAAACGTATCCTTAGCAACGCAGTGACGATAATAGATGTCCGATAAATATTAATAGCAAGGAATTAAGTGCTAATTAAGTGCTTAGCGATTAACGAGAGCCCATGCAGATTAAGATATTAGGGGTCCACGACCACCATTTCCTTAACATAACGTAACATGAACGACATTTTTTGTTTCTTATCAGTGCCTAAAAATTAAATGCTAAATGATTATGGAGGTCCGTGTAGATGACGGTAACATTCTGTGAATTATCTGATCCAGAATTACCATTACCTTACTATAAGGTACGAACGGCACTTTTTGTTGTTTATCGGATTTAATATATCGAAAATATTATTTAATATCATTTTCAAACATCTTCTGTTTTATGCTGCACTTGCATAAAATATAACATACAATTTTAATTTTACAGGAAACAAATGTTACATTCCTTATTTTTAGTCATTTAAAGTCTATATTTTAGTGTACTAAATTAGAAATATTAAAAATACAAAAAATAGCAAAAATGGTTTAAAATAAATAGGACAACTTGTAACTTAAATTGTAGTCTCTTAGAGAAAAAATTAAGGAAATAAACACATTAACTTTGGCATCGCAATATATTTATGAAAATGTAATGTATGTACATAAAAACATAAATAGCTTTCATAAGAATAAAGATGTTCATACTTTAAACACTAGGAACAAACATAAGCTTGTAATACCAGTTACTAGACTCCACAGAATTATTAATTCATTTATGGGTCAATGTATACATACGCTTTTACAACAAGATCCCAGAAAATGTACTAAATTTCTCATTAAACAAATTTAAATGTTTTATGAAAGAAAATTAGCACAAAATGGGTTATTATAATATAAATGAATATATAAATGAAAATAACCCCTGGGAATGATGTGATCGCCAACATGCTGTTTCTATAAAAATTCATACTAAAATTGTACAAAATAAATTTATTGTAAATTGAAATATGTTTAAAAAAAGGCCCGCTGGGTTTCTTGCTGGTTCTTTCTAGGAAAGAGGTTTTTTAAGAACCAGTTGTAAATAAAAAAAAAATACTTTCAATAAGTATTATACATTAATCTATATTGAATATAGTCATTCATTTCATTTCATTTCACGTAGTCAGACATTCATCTTTCAAAATCAATGTGCATTATAGGATACATTGTTGAATAGATATTAAATAAAAATATTTTTGATTTATAGAATAATTTATGTATTAACTATTTTAAGCATATAATATCATTGAGCTATTATGATATATCTTGCTTAAACTGTGTTTGTTCGAATAAATTTTTTTGAAGCTATGTTTAAAATCGGCTTTTATTTCAGATATAGCGTTTTCTATTTCTTTTTGGAAGGAAGTTTGCATTGCTTTTAAAATATATTGGTTGTTTTCTTGCAATATGGATGTATTTTTTTAGTGTGAATTGCTCATCTATAATAAAACAAATAGTCACATCTTTTCCGATTAGGGATTTTGAAGTTTCTCTTACCATCCATTTCTCTCACCATCTTTTCCGATTAGGGATTTTGAAGTTACTCGATACCAAGTAGTATTGATATTTTTGATGCGATACTTGGTATCGAGTAGGTATCGATCTACGAGCACTTAACCCTATAGAGAAGTAATACATACGAATTTAAAAGAAAACAATTTTTTCAACTAGTTGCGGTGCGGGGGGAGTTGTGATCGCTGCGAAGTACTCCGAACTATTCCGAAGAGATTCCGGACACGATCGCTAGGGCGTGCATTGTAATGACTTTATGCTTTTTATCGATAATGATAAATTTTGTCGCTTTTTTAATACATGCTTTCGGTATAAGTAACTAGCTGTTGACTGTGACTTCAATTTCCTGTGCAACTAATAAATGCAATTTTAAATACTCTAACATTTTCAAACAGTATACTCAGGTAAAATATAAATGCCAACTTCGAAAAAAATTCAAGATTAAATTAAAGAAGTTTTAAATAAACTTTTAGTGGTCGCAACTGGCGGGAAACAAAATTGTTCCGAAATATATCAGTGACTAGTCACTGAAGAGTTGACAGGTTCGGGTCACCTTGTATTACGTCTCTATAGGGTTAAGTGCTCGTAGGTATCGATACTTTCAAAACTTTCGGAATCTACACTAATTGAAACGTGAAGTGATTGACGTTTGACATCAACTATTTATCTATTTAAAATTTTAGTGTTAGTTTTTCTATATTATAGTTTCTTTTTTTATATATTGTGTGTAATTAGTATTAATTGTAAATATTATAATTTAGATTCATTAATTAGAAATAATGTTTGCCATTATTTGTCAAATTTATTTTGTAATTGTGTTATTTGCCAATTTGTATGAAAATTAAAAAAAAATGTATCTCATGAACCGTAAGTTTCCACAACCTAAAACTTTTCAAAACGCTTTCTTTTAGTGAGTACTATCTACAAAAAAATCGATTGGGCATTTAAATCGATGGTCCATGTTGGAAATTTTAACCGAGATTTTATAGTCGTACAAATAATTTAATATTAATCCGATAGATAAGAAATTGTTCAAAATTCTAAATGCATATAATACATGGAACTATCGATTGCAAGTTCTATGAGAATAATAATCGAGTAGATTCAATAACGATTACACACCACCCCCTCACTACACTATAGTGAGCTATCAAAACTATCATGCAGAGTAGGTCTAGTACATAGAGTAGAGTAATATATACACAAAGTGAAAGTCTAGTAGCTTGCTACATATTTATTTATCTATGGTCTAGTATATAGTGATCTGTGGAGTAGGTTGCTATTGGTACTTATTACATATTTATTTACCTATCAGTTAAATTATAATGTTTTAGTTCTAGTAATTTTAGTAGTTTAAGTATTAAACAGAAAGCAATGTTACGTTAGTGTATTTTGTTAATAACAAAGAGTATATTAATCGATAATCATTGTGTGCTTATAGATAATATCAAGCTTATCAGAGCCTGGCCTTTTATATTTGATGCAAAGAAAATGATACTAAATCGATTACATCCACTATTACGTACATCTTTTCTGCAATTTACTTCACAACGTCATTATGTTACATATTATGTTCAAGGCCAGGAACACGAGCCAAAGATAAGAGAATATTTTTATTTCATTGATCACCAAGGGATGGTAAACAATCTTTGAATTAGTGTAGTTGAATCTACCTTCTTTTAGGGCTGTCCTAAAGCTTCTTTTATTTTCAGTTGTTTTTAGATGATGCTAAAATGAAGAACTTTACATCATGTTTTAAAGAAAAAAAATTTTTGGAATTTTTCTTCAAGAGAATTAGACGAAATACTACTAGTAGATATGAAGACGACTTTCCTTTTATATCATTGTGTGGTCGGGAAAAAAATTATATTAGGTGTGACGATGTTCCTATAGTTTACACTCATATTTTTAATAATAAGTTGAAAGACGAATATTTTCTTACTTATGGTTATGTAGGAGATAGCCTAAAGATAACGTTTATGCCAGACAAAATTTACATGCTTCCGGAGACAGGCAGAGTGTATCATCCAGCAGAAGATAATTATGGTGGTATTGGATTAGTCAGGTCAAAGCTTGCAATAGAGCTTAGTAAATATTTTGAATTCAACGATGGGGAAGCAAATCCTCCAACACATTTTATATGGCAGAATAATAAATATAAGCTAGATCAACATTGGTTTCATAAAAATATCAGTAAGCATAAAATAAAATTAAAAAGTATACCTGATTAATGAAATCAATTTATTATTATGTTGTATTTATACATACTACATTCTTTTTGGATATAATGTATAACAAATTAATTAAGTAAGAAAAAAACAGAACCTTATATCAACTACTATAAAATTTTAATATGTAAAAAGGTAATTACAACATAAAGTAATTTTTAGTCACATTGATAAAACATCTATATTTTGTACTAATAATTTGTTACAAATTGTTTAATCCCACTTTTTGTTATATATGCTCTTGTCATATTTTATCACAGATATTATTATGGCTGAAATCTATTTAAACTTTAAAAAAAATAATAAAAAAATAAAGCTGGAAACATCATGTAGTTTCTTCTTTAGAGAATGATTGAAAGGAACCGGGTTGTATCCATGATATGCCATAAGATCCTTCATTTGTTCTTGATGTTTTAAGCATTAAATTTCTTGCATTGTCGTGAACTTCAGGATCATATGGTTTGAATGTTATGTAATGTCTGTCATCAGTATTGGGGTCATCATATACATGATCAATACTAGTCATCACACATTCTTTCACTCTTTCAAGGAATACTTTACGATTTGTTTTAAACCTGTAAAAATAATTTTTATATTAATCTCAGTTATTCTGTTGCAAAACCGCTCCTGCTTTAGAAACTGGCTGTTTGTTTAAATTTCGCAGCATTATTTTTTTTTTTTCATAGAATAAGGGTGACAAACGAGCACACAGTCTACCTGATGGTAAGTGGATGCTGTGGCCCATAGACATCTACATTTAACCTCGATTAAGAATTAAAATGCAGATGCGTTGTCACCCTTGAGGACTAAGATGGAATGCCTCGATTCCGGTAAAATGGGTCTCCGGTTTTCTAAACTCAGCATATGAAACACAACAGCGTTAAGCTGCTATTTTATGTTATATTTCACATTATTATTATATTCTAGCAAACCAAGTTTGATTCCCGCCAGCACTAAAATTAATAATTGCAATTGAAGGTGTTGATTTTACCATACACTTTTGGTAGGGATGAAAACAAGTAAAGTATTCTAATATGTTCTTATACAAACTAGCAGTGGTAGATTTTTTTTCCACTATAACCCTCATAGAAACATACTTAGTGGTTGAACACATGGCTGTAAGTTGGTTTTTGTTTTTCAAAAGTCTGTGAATATAAAAGACAACAAGATACAACATGAAGTGCTTAACTTTCTCTTATTATTAATTTGTTTCACATCTATATTTATGCCAAACTGTGTTCAATACATATTATCTTTAATTGCTTTTCACTTTATTCAAAATTATATTAATTAAAATAAACTGGCACCTATAGAATTGTCAATTGCAATTTTATGTGGTGATTTTGATTTATGACACATTAAGTGAAAAAGCAAACCATCATGAGAAAATGTCATGTCTATAGGCTAAATTATTTTTGAAGACGTCATGTAATGTCTGCAATACACATTGGAGTAAGGCAATATATTTAATATTCTTAGACTGGATTATTTAAATTCTTAATTGTTACATAATTATTGTACTATGCATGTTTTTATAAATTAAATAATTCATTTATTAGTCTATCAAAAGTCCATTGCTGAACATAATCCCTCCATAGATTGTCTTATAGAGCAAATAGATGCCACTCTTCGCTGGGAACTGCAGTTTTTGCTGATGCAGATGCTGCTGCCCATTTCCCTCTGTCTTCACTTACAACATCTATGGGTTGATATTACAATGTAGTGGATTTTCTTACGCTGCCACTACACAGTATGGCAGTCATACCCTCGATCAATGGTGAACCATCGTTACAAGAATATGTCTTATTAAATCATTTTGTTAGGACTCTAGATATATAGCGCAAAAATTAAATAATAACTTATTCAGGTGAATTAAATAGAGAATAAGAAGCTTTGAGACCAATTAATCATTTCATGCTCTCGATATTCTCAACATTATGCATTATGCTCAACAACCTTAGTATTGTCTACCAACACATTAGGGTCTCAGGAGAAATATAGACAATAAAAGTCATGTCCAACAACCATGTTGCACTTGAAATTGTTGGGAACACTTGGAACCAGTATGCTTGTATGTAGTTAACAAGTATGTGTATCTGGGACAAAATATTTAAACAATAATCATTTATTTCTGCTAAAATACAAACTGTAGTAATTCCTCTGAAAGCAGAGCTCCACAGAATTATGTGCAGTAAAGTACTTTTATTATCAATGTATATTACCATTTTGGTATATTGAAGTGTGTTAGCAAACAATAGAGGTTTTGAAATTGCAATAAGTTCCAAGGTTAATGGAAATATTTGACATATAGCAATTTATCCTCTAGGCCTATAAATTTGGCAAATGTTGACAGACCTACTTGTGTATGTGTGTGTAAAATTATGATTATTGCTGCAAAATAAAAATGGTTTATATAAAACTATTAAAATTGGTTTAATCATAATTTACTTACGCCACAGAAGCTTCTAAGTTAGCAGGAGATTTCAAGTTTAAATTGTTAAATATCCAGTGCAAGTATTTAAGTATTTGCCAAATGTGGTTTTGTTTTTTATCCCATTGTGGAAACACCTCATTTAAACTGAGAACACCAGTTGTTGCATTGACTGCTGGGTGATATAACTTTGAATTGAAAGTGACAACCTTAAAAAAATAAAAAAATCATTATTTTTTCTATCCAATTTTTTGTGTATATCAGATATAGATTATACTTTATGAATACGACTTATAGCTAAGGATTTTAAACACTGTTTTGATTATTTAAACTGACTTCAGGAATACATACAAAGCCCCAATCACAACAGAAGTATTGTAACTGATTGCAGTGATTGGCGAAACAAATGCATGAATGAATTGGTCTAATTGAGATGGGCGATTTTGCAGAACAAAAATGATGAATGTGTTCAAATTATTTTAATCAAATATGTATTGCAAATATACAAGATTTTAAAATCGTGACTAATAACTGATTGTGTCTTATCACTACGCACACAATCACAATAGTAGTAGTGATATAATATAAAAACAGTTGTTAGTGAGTTAAATACTATTTAATTTTTATCTCTTAAACTACTCGTTATTGAAAACAGTTCAGGTTTAAATGGCTATTTAACAAAAAATAGAGGTAACTAAATTTTATTCCAATCAAGAACATATTATCCTATTAAATATTTAAAAAATTATTTGGTTTGAAACTTGATTTACTAAAATAAAATTAAATACTATTTTATGTGAGTTTGCTTTGTGTTTGTGTTTAACAACATTGGGTCATCAACTCACAAGCCCCCAATTCAAACAAGACACAATACAACAAGACAAACAAAGAGAATAGTACATTCACCATGTCTTCACCCTTCTTATCATCGTTGTCGTCATTACAGTCAATCAAAATTCACTGCTGAACTATCGCTATAGTTGCCTCTCCTGGCAGGTGGGTGGCCAATACCCTCAGTATTTTATTACTTTGAGTTGTTATCAGAGAGATAACAACACAATTGCATGTCACCCATATTCTGTTTCATTCCACCTCTTACGATGGCCATCCGATGATATAAGGCAGTGAATTATTTTATGCAACCACTACATGGAGCCTTCATAATAAATGTTAATCATATTATAACCAATATTTGTTATGTATCAATATCCGGAATCCATCTTGAGTCAAGCACTTGTCTTTTCGCCTAAAGTCAGCACTTCCGGCTACCTTACCTGCATGGAGGGGGCACCTCCCCACTGTTTTTGCTTTGTTATTTAAATAGTGGTGAGCACCAGGTCTCGTCATTATAGCGTTGTTTTTCGCGCCTTTCACAAGTCAGCCTTTGTAAGCACGAAAAAGTTTTAATTTTACTAAAACTAAGTGATAAATAACTACACTACTGATATAATATGAAAGTACAAAAGTGAACATTTGAGGATTGATGGATGAATTTTTATCCCAGCAAGTGGCCTTTTTAACTATTATTATTACAAAATTTAGGGAAGTTCCATGCCAAAATCAAAAAATAGTCCCTTCACTTAATCTTAACTTTCACCTACAACGTAGAATGCGGTGACAAAATAAACCAGCTCAAGCTATCGGATTTGTGTACCACGGTAAAAGATCCTATTTATCCACGTGCAAATGAAATACATTTAAAGAAATTAGTAGAATTACAGCGTTTTAATTGTGATGATTGGTATGCTGTACGGTTTATCGATGCTCAGAAGAAATATTTATCTACCTCCGGTTTTGTCGAACTTGCTGTAAATGATTCGCTAAAACGATTTGAGTCTGTAATGTTGCGTGATGATGATCCTCGTTCTTATTTGCTAGAACGTTCCTTCGCCGGATTAACTAACGCCTTACTTTGCCAAAAAGATGAATTACAAAGAGCATTACAAGCACTAATAGATTGGGCCAGTGATTCTCAACAGACATTGACTCCAAATACATTATTTGATAAAATAGACGTTCTTTTCTAAGGAGTCACCATATAGCAAAAGTAACTCAAGATTTGTTTCAAATAGTTTTTGGTAGACTAGCGGATCTTGTTACCTTACGCAGAGGTTCATTACTGCGACAGATTCCTGAAGAATATCATCGCGAGGTTTTGCAAAAAATCCCTCCTAATGTAGAAACTCTGTTCAACGGCGATTCCATTCAGACCTACCTTCAGAAAATTGGAGGGGCAGATGAATTGATCACTTCATCCCGATCAGTGCCTCGTACTCGAAAAGAATTTTTTTATGCAAATAAAGTCATCGACTAGTACACAAGCTGATGATATATTTTTTCATCGAAGCAATCCCTCGAAAAGAGGAAAACGTGCACCACGCCCATCCAACCAAGCGAATCAAGATAAATCGGGCAAAAATAAACAAAGAGGAAAGAAATCGCAATCGCATTCTTCCTTTAAAGATGAGCGTCGTAAATGACTCAAAAATTTCGTGGCGGCTGTCTGAAGCAATTTCAAAGTGTTTGGTGCAATTTAGGCGCACCGGAACAAATATGCAGACTATTAAGCGGCTCGTACATCCCATTCATACTCAAGCTGCCCTAATACTTCCAAATCAAATTGTGATTCAGAGCTACAGGACCAAAACTTCCTTAAATATGACTCGCCAAATTCAAAGTATGTTAAAGTGCGGAGTACTCGAACAGGCGGAGCCGAGTGCCAGTTTTCTTTCAACATTCTTTTTGGTACCCTAGACCAGACTGCAGCTACCGTCCAATATTCAATTCGAAACAACTGAACAGGTTCGTCAAAACGAAACCCGTCAGATTGTTCATTCACTTACGAGTACCCACCTTCCTGCAGCATCGGGATTGGATGGCAAAATTGGACCTAAGCCAATGTCACCAATGTTTGTCACCATTGGCACTACAAACTAGCGTGGTTATTCCCACCACCCAATCTTATTCCCAGAGTCCTAAACCATTTAAATCTAATAATGGGCGGAGGCAGTAGAGTCCAAGGGGGAGGCATTGGCCGTTAGTTTGGACATTGCGAAGGCCTTCGATCGGGTTTGGCACAAAGCGCTTCTTTCTACGCTCCCATCCTATGGGCTTCCCGAGAAATTGTGCGATTGGATAACCAGCTTTCTTGCAGATCGGGGCATCAAGGTCGTTGTAGACGGTGCAAGCTCTGATTGCAAGCCTATTAATTGCTGGTGTTCCACAAGGCTGCGTTATATCGCCAACGCTGTTTCTTTTGCATATCAATGATATGTTGCAAACCCGTAACATTCATTGCTATGCAGATGACAGCACTGGTGATGCTCTTTACACCGGCCGAGCCAATATTCTCAGAGTGCCGGGACAAACTGTGTTGAGTGAGTCTTTAACAGAGTTTATTGGGGGCGACTAAATCTAGTCCAGTTTACCCCAGACACAAGTTTGCGCGTTAACCGCTAAAAAGAACCCCTTTGTCGTATCTCCTCAGTTTCAAGGCACTCCCCTTGTTGCCTCAGCCAGTATCTGAATCCTCGTCGTCGACATATCGAGTATGTGCAGTTTCGTGGTCACTTGGAAGAGAAGGCCAAATTGGCCTCTAAAAAGCTTGGCGTGCTCAGCAGAGCGGGACAGTATCTCATGCCGGCACACCGCCTGCAACTTTACCAAGGCGCAGGTTCAGCCGCACACGGAATACTGTTCCCATCTCTGGGCTGGGGCTCCCCAGTACCAGCTCCTTCCACTTGACCGCATCCAGCGCAGAGAGGCTCTAATCGTCGACGACAGAGTGCTTTCCGATCGGCTCGATTCACTGGCACTGCGAAGAGATGTTGCATATCTTTGCATTTTCTTTCGCATATACCATGGAGAGTGCTCTGGGGAACCGATACCATCCACACCATCTGGATGCTTGGCGGTCCACCACTGTACGTTTCAAGAGGAGTTTTCTTACGCGTACAACCTCTCTGTGGAATAGTTTACCACCAGCGATATTTTCCGGACCGATACGACCTGGGGATCTTTAAGAAAAGAGCGTATTCCTTTCTAAAGGGCCGGCAACGCACCTGCAATTCCCCTGGTGTTGCGGTTGATCATGGGCGGCGGTAGTCCCTTAACATCAGGTGAGCCGCATGCTCGTTTGCCCCCTCTTCTATAAAAAAAAGTAAAGCCAGCAGAATATACATATTACATATTAATTGCCCTGAAATGGAAAAAGGTGTTTTGGCAAGCAGATGTTCAATGCCGAGCTCTACACCCCCCCTTATCGAATTCCAGACCTAGTCCACACTCTAGTAGACACGAGAACAGGCATACACCCACCACAGATTCAAGACTTTCTTTTGGAAGCATGGCTGATTTTGGGCAGCAAGATATGTTAACAGAATGGACGGATAAAGAACAGAACTTATTAATATCAAGTTGGCAAGGCTCTACGATCAACCAGCTTGGAATAGATGGAAAAAATGGTGCGAGTCTAATTTGGTTAATTATAAATATCCTAACCCAGAACAAGTAGCACATTTTTTTTAATTACATTTACATTGTGATATAGGTCTTGCTTACAGAACAATTTTAGTACATAACATTCACTCACTTAACTTCAAAAGTAGATTTATCTTTGAATTTCTTTAACACATGTTAAAAGCAATATCTATGGCCCGTACCAAACCAGTAAAGCCACCAATTTGGAATCCTAAGTTTATTATGCAGTATATAAGTAAACATAATTTAAATGAAAACAATCTGTATGAAGTATCTAGGCATACAGCTACATTATTACTTTTGGCTTCTAGTCGGAGAGTTCATGACCTCACTTTGTTGCATATTGACAATAACAGTTTAATAGACGAACAAAGTAGCATAATCTTATGGCCAGCTTTTGGTTCCAAAACGGACAGCATTAATCATAGACAGTCTGTTTGGAGGCTTAAAGAACATCCTGATAAAAATTTGAATATTATTTTCTGGATAAGACAATTATTAGATATCTAAAAATCGCAGAAAGGCTATAAATCATTTATTTATTACAGCTAGAGGCGACTCTAAGCCAGCATCCCATACTGTAATTGCTGGGTAGGTAAAATCGCTTTTGAGAGAGGTGGGTATTGAAGCTACTCCTGGTTCAGTAAGATCAGCAGTATCTTCTTTAAATTGGTTAGAAAATTTTTCACTACATAAAATCCTTGCGATGGGTAATTGCAAAACTGTGCACACATTTCAAAATTACTATAAAAAAAACTAAAGGAAATTTCGGCAAATAATTCTGTATCTTAATCAAATTATTTTGATGCCATTAATAATAGAGTTTTAACATAAAATAAAACTTACCTATTATTTTTTAGTCAATATCTGGAATCCAGGTAAGGGCTACCTGGTGCATCCTGAGTGCCATAATGAGACCTGGTGCTCACCACTATTTAAATAACAAAGCAAAAACAGTGGGGTGGTGCCCCCTCCATGCAGGTAAGGTAGCCGGAAGTGCTGACTTTAGGCGAAAAGACAAGTGCTTGACTCAAGATGGATTCCGGATATTGATTAAAAAATAATAGTTAAGTTTTATTTTATGGTAAAACTCTCTAATTTAAAGTTTAATATTTACTTACAGGAACACTATCATCAGGAAACTTTTCTGGTAATGTTAGGGTAAATCGAAACACTCCACCTTCATAGACGCCAGATCTTACAAATATTACTCCAAACCATACTACAACAAGAAGATCTATTGTATTATTATGTACTAAAATATTGTTTACTTATGATATATAAGATATTTTTATACTTATGGAAACTATATATTATACTTACATAATGAATTTTCATATGATGGTATGACATATATTCCTGGAAGGTTTTCAGTCTGTAACATGCGACTGAAATATTAACAAAATTTTTATTTTCAAGATCATAAAAATTACTTATATAAACTGAATCCAAAATATTACAAAACATTTTACATGCTAAAACATCATGGCTCATATGTGAAAAATCTACAATCGCTTTGATAGTTCTAATAAATAGAATCTTATTTTTGTTAGTCTAGTGTAGTCCTCAAATATTAAATTGCAAAAATACAATTGTTTTCCAGATTGAAATTATAATTTTACTTGTGTGAAATATATTTTATTATATTTTTTTCTTCTTAAAAACTATATGGCCCTTCATCCACCCTTAGGGGTTCACACCAACACCCATATCCCCCAAAATTAGAACATATTTTCCAATATTATAAGAGAATAACAAAATGTAAGCCTCCTTTGGTAAACACAAGAAGATAGCAAATTGAAATGATTTCACAACATTCCCTTATGTTAAGTAAATTTAAAAGTATTAATAACTTTTATAAACTAGAGCAGCATATGGCAAGTATTTGTAAAAGCCTCGAATGGTTTAACTAAATCGAATTTGTTTTGATTTTATGTATCACATTTAAAAAGAAACAAATTGTTCAGAACTATAGTGTTGCACAATAACTACATTCTCTTTTCGTTGCACTTCCATTTTACGTCTTTTAATAATTATTTAAGATTATAATGAGCTTCATTTGTACTGGAAATATATACAATTGGTATGTTTACTTACTATTCTGCCATTATGATATATTCTTGATGGTATATGGAATAAGATTCTCTCATTTCGTTAGCGGTGCTTTTTGTTTCTACATTCATTTAAATTAAGAACAGACCTAGACAGTGGTCTAATCTTTATCTAGCGACAATTCAGCAATATTTTACTGTATATAAGAATAATACATTAAATCCACATCACAGAACACAATTAACTAGGAGTAGTCGTTACAAAACGTAACTAGTTACTTTCAGTTTATACAAAGGTACTCTGTGCTAGTTACTGACATATCTATTTATCTATGAATTTTACATACAGGTCACACATACAGCTATGGAGTGTAGAGTACAGACTGTATAAAAAGCGTCCGTAGGAAATCGCTAATTAAGAGTGACGCCAATGTAGCTACAGTTTAAATTTTAAAGAACTTTTTATAATTTTTTATTGCACAGACTTTCACCATAATTCTTTTTACAATAATTATTTTATTGCTTTCGAAATTTTTATTTTAAAACCACCCTCAGTGTGTAATTTGTGACCATAGATAAATAGATATGTTGCAAGCTATTTGTGACAGTATATAGTTATCTGTGATTTGGTGACTGTTCTCACAAATCACAGATAACTATACTATACTATATATAGACCAGATTAAACGGATTAAACTTATTATATTTTAACCTAGGTCTATGATTAAACTTTACGAAAATAGAAAATACCGAGGTACCTCAAAAAAGTACTGAAATATACAGACTTACACAGGGCAAATATATCAATAAAAATTACTTATTTTCTTAACATGTAACATGTAACATTCATCATCATCACAATAAATGTAAGAATTGTATTTTAAAATTACTTTTGAAGAATTTAAATTGATAAAAAGAATGAGAAACAAGATATCAAACGCGGGATAATTCTTTCATTTCATTTAAAATATCTCTCTTAACTTTAGCTACCGTAATGCTAATTATAAGCTATCGTACAAGTTATGCTTACCGTTAACGTCCTCTATATTTTTTATGTTCGATTTATGCTTTCAGAATTTGCATTTTGTTTTATAGATGCCAATCTACTTTGGAGTTTCGCGTTGCATGCTTTACAAAAGACGGCGAACTCATCATTTTTACACCTAAACTTAAAGTAAAGTTACAGCTTATATACGTCCCACTGCTGGGCACAGGCCTCCACTCATTTCTGAGGGTTTGACACGTTTGACAACGTGAAAACCACGACGAAAATTTCTTAATTTGTTCCCACTTTGCTAAATAACTTTGCTAAAAAGTAGACATGATGTAAAATAAAAACAATGATGATCAAAACGGACTACGTAGTAATTGGGAGAATTATCGAATAGGGTATTACACCCATTTTTAAATAGTGTTTTAAATGAATCCTAGAGTGATAATGAATCACTATAACTTTTATATAATTTTTTAAAAACCGAATAGTGCCATAAAAATTACTTTTAATTTATCGCTTTAAATTTTTACGCGAAAACGCTTGCCCCCATCCTGTAGAGCTAGTGACGTCACTATCCTAGGATTTTGCCGATTTTGCAAAGGAATATATTTTTGGATGTTTAACAATTATTGATGAGATGAGATCATTATCACTGGCGTGTTGTGCCTGAATGCAAAAATATGAACATAAGAACGCCGCGGAAGTGAGAAATATATAGCTTTTCTAGATGTGTTAGTAATTCGGAATCCTGATAACACCTTGAGCCATACTGTGTATAGAAAAAAGACCCATACAGATAGATGTCGGTATTTTCCATTAAACGGTGATTCTCACCACCATCCTTCACAGTTAGCTACCGTGGGTAAATCTTTGTTTCAGAGAGCACGAGGGATCTGTGACAGTAAACACCTGGCTGCCGAGCTCCACCATGTCAAGCAAGTTTTGCATGACAACAAGCTTCGAGTCCCGCGCCTACGTCACAGTGAACGAGTGAAGCCGGCCACAGTCGAGCGTGTACCTGCTGTACTGCCATATGTTAGAGGAGTCACTGACAAGATTGGCTACATCTTGAAGCGCGCTTCGATCAAAACATACTTCAAGCCGCTGAAGAAGATTGGTCAGTTTTTACCATCGGTCAAGTGTAATGTCCCTCTGCAAGATGCAGGAGTGTACAAGCTTGATTGTGAATGTGGTCTCTCCTACATAGGACAAACTAAAAGATCAATAAAAACCCGCGTTAAAGAACATATAGCTGATGTGAAGAATCTACGTTCTGGGAAGTCTGCAGTCTGTGAACACGTACAGGATCGCCCCCGTCACTACATCAGATTTGATAGATCGCAAATCCTCGCTAAAGAACACCGATTCCTTCTAAGGATGATTCGCGAGGCTATTAAAATCATAATTTCAATAGAGAAGATGGCTGGGTGCTACCATCTGCTTGGGATCCTATAATAAATAAAATTAAATCCCAACCCAAGCATACAACTGCAAGACTTCAAGATACCATAAGTTCATACTGCATAAGTCGGAACAAAAGTTAAATTTCAATCTATGGTAACCGCGGTTAACTGTGACATATGGACGTTGAACATCTCAGTCCCGCCCGTGACCATGAGTGCTGTAAAGCGTTCGAAACGTCGGGTATTTAAAAAGTTAAATATACGCGATAAATTCCGTAAAAACTAGTATTATTTCAATCACTTAGAAGATTTGTATTAAAGTCACCCATTGATAAAAACTACTTTTACGGATTTTATCGTGTTTTATTTTTAGTCACTGCAGTTTGTGATCATATCCTAGACGGCCCTAACCATTACATCAGATTTGATAGACCACAAATCCTCGCGAAAGAACACCGATTCCTACCAAGGATAAGCGTACGTGAGGCTATGGAAATTAAAAAAACATCCTAATTTTAACAGAGAAGGAGGCTGGGTACTACCACCTACTTGGGACCCTACAATCAATAAAATTAAAACTAAATCGAAGCATACCACTGCAAGACCTCAAGACATAGTCAGTTCATTTTGCATAGATCGGACCATAAACAATAATTAAAAAAGCTCAAGGTATTTCGGGTTTAACAATAACATCGGGACGTCAGTCACCTCACTCACCTCAGTCCCCCGTTCCAGGTATATATATTGTACTCTGGTCCCCCGTGACGATGGGTGCTGGAAAGCACCCGAAACGTCAGGAATTAAAAATTAAAACAATTAAAATAAAAATTAAACGCGATAAAATCCGTAAAAGTAGTTTTAATCAATGTATAGTGTTCGCGTAAATATAAGAAATCATTAGTTAAAGTCACCCATTAAAATATGATGTTGATAATCAGAGCAAACTGAAAGAAGTGCCTCTTCAAATTTACATAAATAACTGAAATTAGGTGGACAATAAATTGCACCAAGCATAACTTTGTTTCCACTAATAAAAATCTCTAAAAAATTAAATTCAAGTGATCCAGTACATTGTGAAGGTGAGGCTGATAAAATTATATAAGGAATACGACTTCGCAGGGTTACTGCCACACTACCTCCTCTTTTATCAATGCGATCGTTACGAAGTAAAATAAAGCCTGGTAATCCGTAAGAATTAGAAGGCAAAGTTGGGTTTGACCAGGTTTCCGAGATAAGTATCGCGTGGATGCTTTGATTATTAATAGTTTCTAATGCGGAATACTCTGGGCATTAATGTGACAAACGTTGAAATTTTTATTATAATTATCGAATTTTTGGGTTAGGACGTTAGGAGAGAATGAAGTGTAGATAGTTCTAATTCAGAGTCAGAAAATGAATAAAAGTAATTAGAATTAGCAGAGGTGGATGAATCGTTATTGGAAACTGCAATGGCGCTAAAATCAGTATATAATATTATATGGAAATAAATGATCATATACATAACGTATATAAATAAATATATAACTTATTTAAGTAAATATAAATAAATATCTGTAATATATTATGTTTATGTTGCATTGTAATTTAAATAATACTTGTTTTACGGATTTTATCGCGTATATTTAACTTTTTAAATACCCGAATGGTCACGGGGGAGATTGAGATGTTCAACGTCTAAATGTCATAGTTAACATTTAGTTACATGTTAATACGAATGTAATTTTAAATGGGGAAGAACTGAGTCTTGTTGATACCACCATTTTTCTTGGAATCACACTAGACGCAAAGCTTCAATGGCTCCCCCATATATCAAAACTAGCTAGCAGACTTAGTTCTGCAGCATATGCTGTAAAAAAGATTAGAATTCTTACCAGTGTTGAAACAGCAAGAATAGTTTAGTTTAGTTATTTCCATAGCATTATGTCGTATGGTATTTTGCTACGGGGACACGCGACTGACACTGAAATTATATTTATTTTACAGAAGAGAGCCATTAGAACAATATATAATTTAAAACCAAAAGAGTCGCCGAGACAAAAATTTAAGGAAATTAATATATTAACTCTGGCCTCTCAATATATTTATGAAAATGTAATGCACGTACACAAGAATAAACGTAGTTTTGCAAAAATAAGTGATATTCATTCTGTAAATACTAGGAACAGACACAAGCTAGCAATACCAGTTACTCGACTCCACCGAGTCTGTAATTCATTCTTAGGGCGATGTATACGCTTTTACAACAAAATCCCAGAAAATATACAAAATTTGTCATACACAAAGTTCAAAATTTTTATTAAACTAAGTTTGTATAAAAAGGGTTAATAATATTATAGAATTTATGGGTGATAATAACCCCTGGGAAGGGTGATCGCTACCAAGCTATTTCTAATTTGTCTTGTGTTATTAATTATTAACATGATTGTAAGCTATTATTTGAAAAAAAAAATAGTCCCGTTGGGTTTCTTGCTGGTTCTTCCCAGGATAGAGGTTTTTTTGCGAACCACTGGTAAATGAAAAAATTGACTTTCAATAGGTATTGTTTATAATCTACATTGAATAAAAAGTAAAAAAAACCGCGGTTACCATAGATTAATATTATTAATTTTTGTTCCGATCTATGCAGTAGGAACTTATGGTATCTTGAAGTCTTACAGTTG